AAGTCACTGTGCCGTTCAGAACTGCAGTTCCCATGGTGCTGGATGTCATGAAGAATACATGTGCACCATCTGTTCAGGCACTCGTGGGACCAAGCTGCCTGTCACTGACCCTTCTTTCCCCTCAGTCATCTTCCATACAGTGAAGCAAAACATCCCCACAAGGCCAGGGGCGGTGGCTCACGTCAATAATCCCAGCTACTCAGGAGGGGAATATTGGTTTTTTTTTGCCTGCGCACAAAAGTTCATGAGACCTCATCTTAACCAATGGCTGGGAGTGGTGCACACCTGCCATCCCAGCCATGTAGGGAAGCACAGATAGGAGGATGGTGGTCCTAGAGCAACACTCTATCTCAAAAACAACCAACACAAAAAGAGCTGGCGGTGTGCCTTAAAGGGCAGAACTCCTGCCCGGCTAGCTACAGGCCCCGAGCTCAACAACTAATACTTAAACAAAAAAACACATCCAAGTCTACTGCCTAAAAGAGCTGGCCATTCTCTTCTCCCCAGCTCCTTCCAGCCTGGTGTAAAGCCTGGTATGTGATCAGATCTTTTCCAATCTTGCACCGCTGTCCCCACTGCTCATAAAATTGTGCCCACATGGGAGATGGATGTGGTGGCACATGGCTTGTGGACCCAGCCACTTGGGAGACAGAGGCAGAAGAATCACAGTTTGAGTATGGCCTGGGCAAAAGTGTGAGACTCTATCTACAAAAAGTAAACGCAAAAGGCTTGGGGATGGCGCAAGTGGTACAGTGCCTGCCTAGTAAGCACAAGGCTCAGAGTTCCATCCCCAGGACAGGGGGAAAAATTCTGGCCACACAGACTTCTCTCTGACTCTTGACTTGCCAGTGTTTATTCCTTTCCCATGCTGGGGCCTCTGCTCTAGGCCTCCGATCTTTGCCTGGCTGTGTCCTCATCACTGAGGTCTTGGGGGTACATGCTCCGTCCTCAATGTGTTCTGCTTACTCCCCAACTCCACGGGCCTTCCAGTGACTATCTCATGGTCCTGGTTCACTTTCAAGAAACTGCTGCATCCCCAGGACACTCAGATTGTTAGAAATAAAGTCCGTGGTGGTCCATTTTCAAGGCAAGGGAACTTAAACCGGGAGGGGTAAACCACCATAGAATAAGGAAATGGGGAAAAACTGTATGTGCCAGAGGGCACACGTCACAGGGAGACCTTCTCGCCACAAAGGAGGCAGATACCCCCGAAAGCCCGCCTCTAGAATTTGAGCAATCCCAAGAGAGGCCTAGTTTAAAATAACCCAATAGGCAATTGAGGTGACATACAGGGAAAGAACTACGTCCTACAGGACCCAGCCAGTGAGGAACCAGGACAGGGACTTCGCACTACACAGTATGATGCTTGTTGTGACCACAGGCACCTGATCTTGCAAGACTTCCATTAAAGTCTCGCTCTCATTGTACTTCATGCTTCTCTGAGTCCATGCTTTGTGGACAGGTGAGTGTATTTCCCACACAGAAGACAAGCTTGGCAGCTTGCTCTGACTTTACTTTTGACCTGCTCACATCCCTTCCTCACGCTGCACCTGAGCCATCTGTCTAAACCTTCTCCTCAAACACAGGCTCACGAGGCAGTGAGCACAGGTGAGGCACTGGCACAGGCGCTCTGGGTCTGGCCCACTGCTACTCCCACTGGACAGTCCTTATGGTTCTCCAGCACCCCGCCCTCTCCTGCCTCTCCAGCACACATATGCCTCCCCTGTGCCACACACCTCCTCCCTGAAGGCCTGTGAACTCAGCCTGCAATGCTCCTCAGCATCACTTTTCCAGATCTTCCCCATCTCTCAGCTGGACCAGGCTGCCCCTCCGCGGGTGCTCCAGGGAGCTTGGACACCTGCCCACACCATTCTTAGGAGAGCTTTGCAGGGAGGGTCTTGTCCCATCCAGTGCCACTGCTACCACTGAGCAGTGCCTGCTGCATACTGTAGGCAGTTAATATAGGTATACAGATACATGTTTACTTAGTTTATGTATTACACTAGAAAGTCAGTGCTGCCCATAGAATTTAATTCAGAGTTACCCACAGAACAGGTGCCCAATAAATACTGGGTAAAAGTACAATGGTTTCTTTAACTCAGTGAAAGTAAAGAGAAAAAAGGACGCTCAGGCTTCTTAACGATGGGGTACACTTACTTAAGGAAACTACCAAGGTTACTTATAAGTTTTAAAAAGCTAAATTCAGGGCAGGGCATGGTGGTGCACACCTGTAATCCCAGCTACTGACAAGGCAAAGGGAGGAGGAAGAGGGGGAGGAGGAGAATCGTGGTTCAAGGGATGCCCTGGGCAAAAATGAGACCCAAGAAAATACTAAAAGCAAAGAGGACTAGAGGTGTGGCTCAAGTGCTGGGGCACTTGCCTAGCAAGCATGGGCCCTGTGTTCAAGATCCAGTACTGCAAAATAAACAAACAAACAAACAAACAGATACACAGGACTAAACACAGTTTGTAATTCAGTTATATGATCTCTTTCAACATTTCTTCTTGCTACACTGTTATAATTTAATTCTGGATATACACAAGGCTATTTTAGCATTTTTTCAAAATACCTGTTGAAGGTGTTGGCGAGGATTCGGGGAAAAACGAACCCTCTTACACTGTTGGTGGGAATGTAGACTAGTACAACCACTCTGGAAAAAAATTTGGAGGCTTCTTAAAAAGCTAGACATCGATCTACCATTTGACCCAGCAATACCACTCTCGGGGATATACCCAAAAGACTGTGACACAGGTTACTCCAGAGGCACCTGCACACCCATGTTTATTGCGGCACTATTCACAATAGCCAAGTTATGGAAACAGCCAAGATGCCCCACCACTGACGAATGGATTAAGAAAATGTGGTACCTATACAGAATGGAATTTTATGCAGCCATGAAGAAGAACGAAATGTTATCATTCGCTGGTAAATGGATGGAATTGGAGAACATCATTCTGAGTGAGGTTAGCCTGGCCCAAAAGACCAAAAATCGTATGTTCTCCCTCATATGTGGACATCAGATCAAGGGCAAACACAACAAGGGGATTGGACTTTGAGCACATGATAAAAGTGAGAGCACACAAGGGAGGGGTGAGGATAGGTAAGACACCTAAAAAACTAGCTAGCATTTGTTGCCCTCAACGCAGAGAAACTAAAGCAGATACCTTAAAAGCAACTGAGGCCAATAGGAAAAGGGGACCAGGAACTAGAGAAAAGGTTAGATCAAGAAGAATTAACCTAGAAGGTAACACACACGCACAGGAAATTAATGTGAGTCAACTCCCTGTATTGCTATCCTTATCTCAACCAGCAAAAACCCTTGTTCCTTCCTATTATTGCTTATACTCTCTCTACAACAAAATTAGAGATAAGGGCAAAATAGTTTCTGCCGGGTATCGAGGGGGTGGGGGGAGAGAGAGGGGGCGGAGTGGGTGTGAGGGAGGGGGTGGGGCAGGAGGGAGAAATGACCCAAGCATTGTATGCACATATTAATAATAAAAAAATAAAAATTAAAAAACAAAAAACCTGTAGACAAATAAGTATTAAACTGCTTAATCCTCGTGACTCTGTTCCTAACTGCTCCACTGCAGAGAGATGAGTAAAAGCTGTCTTGGAAAGAAAACTGACCAAATGTTACTGAAGTGCATGAATTGTTACCCTTTGTTACCATAATTGATATAAAGACATATCCAGAGATATGTGAGGTTTTGGAAAACAAACATATAGGGAGTCATTTGTATCGCATTTGCTATTTAAAGCAGGCTCCTCTGGGGACTCATCTCCACAGTAAGACCAACTTGCAGCAAGCTCTCTTTTCACTTGCATTGGCAGCACTGGGTCTTGAACTCAGGGCCTAACCACTTGAGTCACTCCACCAGTCCACACCGGTTCTCTGTCAGGGATGGTAAGTCTTCAGCTTTGAAGGTTGGTACTTAGCTTTGAAAGAACTAGTCAGTAGAAGCTATGCTGATAAAAAAGGTCAACGATCATGACCCATTACATCAAAAACACTGGCAATGTGCAAATTTCTTTGTTCTGAAAACAATGCAAAAGAGTTTCAGAAATTTTGGGGTGGGGGGGTGGGGCATGGAGAAAATAAGAAAACAAACAAACAAAAAAATGATGCTTAATTAGTCAGAGGCCTTCTTGAAAATCTGACGAAAATCACAGCTCCCTTTCTCCAGAAAAATATGGCTTCTGCGACCCCTCAAGTCATTTACATAGAGTATTAGAAAGGTATGGACACCCGGGGGTCCACCTACAGAGCAGATAAACACTGTGTTGTGGGTTACCTAGGTGCCGGTGGCTCACGCCTATAATCCTAGCTACTCCGGAGACAGATCAGGAGGATCACGGTTCAAAGCCAGCCCCAGGCAAATAGCTCCTGAGACCCTATCTTGGAAAAAACCCAACACAAAAAGGGCTGGTGGAGTGGCTCGAGCTGAAAGAGTGCCTTTCTAGAAAGCATGAGGCCCTGAGTTCAAACCCTAGTGCCACCAAAAAAACCATATATATATTTATTTACCAGTGACCCTGGTTTATAGGAGTGGCTTTTGATTTCCTTTCTTTCTCCTACCACCATCAACAAAACAAAACTCATTCCCTACTGTACCCAGTTTGCACACACATACATAAAATCAAAGGAAGAGGTTCACAAAACAATCCTCACCCCTACTCTGTGACATAATGTTCTTTTCTACTTGATTTCATGAAGAAAAATGTTCATAACCCACTACACCAATTTCACAACCCACGGTTTAAAAACTCACAGTGTAGAGTGACTGCAGCATAACTGAAGTTAATGAGAAAGACAAAACTGATTTGATCAGAAATCCCTCATCGTGATTGGAAAATAATGAACACATCTTCTTACACCAGTGAAACCTTTTCAGAGACTGCATCCTTACTGGCAGCACAGGGCTGTCCTGGTCACCCAGCTATGTGACTCACACTGGGACAGTGATGACAGACTCACACAGTGGTCACTGACACCACATACCTTAATATTAGAAAACCACAAGTCATTCTCGTGCAAGGTGGCAAGGTAGACAGACGTGAGAAGTCCAACACACAGGGCAACAGCTCCGCCCACGGTAAACGACAGAATCTTCCAAAACCTTCTGTGGCCATGACCTTCTAGAACAACAAACAGAACCCAGTCAGTCATTCAGAATTTAAAGTTCTATTTCAGACTGCCAAGTACACCAAGTTCCAGCTGCCCATTACTGCTGAGACCTCCCTGTTGGGGTTCCCTTTCTGTGATTCCACAGACCTGTGTGCACTGTCTTTCCTTTTTCTTTTTTTTTTTTTTTTGGGGGGGACATGTCACCCAGGCTGGTGTCTAGCTCCTGGGTTCACATGGCCTCCCTGCCCTCAGCCTCCCAAGTAGCTGGGTCTACAGGTGTGCACTGCCACACCTGGCTTGTTTTCAGTCTCTCACAACAGTTTTTACCCAACTCTAGCAATTCACTTTGCTCCCCAGGGACAAGTAGGTGACCTATTTATCTTTAGTGCCAGGGCACAGTGGAGCAATAATGGTTTATGAGTCCAGGATGTGAATAATCATTTAGATAACAGACTTGTAATTCATAGTTTATTCACTAAAAGCTACCAGGATGTCTGAATGGCTCAAGTGGTAGAGAGCCTGCCTAGCAAACCTGAGGCCCTGAATTCAAATGCCAGTACTGCCAAAAAAACAAACAAAAATAACTACCAAAAAACTTGATTACTTACAACTTAAAAGACCCACAGGGAAAATTAACACATCTTAACTCAAAGGACATACATGCTGGGAAAAGTGTTTGCTTAAATATCCTGACACGGAGGACATTTCAGAGAAATAAAAGTGATAAATACTGCAGTAGGAAACAGATTAAGGATGTGAACAGACAACGCACAAAGGGAAAAAAAAGGCCACTGCGTAGAACAGACAGAAGAAAAGATATCCAAATTTCTTCTGATTCACTAGTGTTGAAGAAATGCAAATCACAACAACGAGCTGTACTTTTAAAAGTCTGGCCCAATGATAGCTCAAAAAATGCTAATACTCTGCTTTGGAAAGGGTAGAAAAAAAAATAAAACATCATCAAATGCTGCTGGCAAAAATAATAAATTGGTACCTTGGTGGAATCTAACACAGTTTTACCAAAAAAAAAAAAAAAAAGCCACTAAAGAGAACAAACTCTTTGATCAGGAAGTCCAAGTGTAGGGAGACACTCCAAGAAGATACCTGGCATTTTAAAGTGACATCTGCTCACAAGGATGTTTATCACAGTTCTAACCACATCAGTTCAAGGTTAGAAAACCATCTTGATACTCAACATCACGATGGACTGCTACACACTGACAGTATTTTTAAAATCTAACGACTAACTGAAGATACATTCTCATCATAATCAGCTTTGAAGACAGCACACAGATCTCAATTTTCAAAGAAGAAATGAATGGGGAGGGAGGGGTTGACATGTGCAGAAAGTGACATGAGACAAGGAAGACCAACTGTCACCTCACAGATGGGTGCGTCTCTGGGAGTACTTTTCCCTTCCTTCTTTAGTTTTCAGGGTCTCTTTATTTCCTGACATGAATACACTGCTTTGGCAAAATGAATAACCCCCACAGTTATGCTCTAACTTTAAGTTAGAACTAACTTTAAGTTGTGTCTTTTAAAGACCAATACTGCATTTAATTGGAACCTGTTGTCTTAAATGCATTAGCTGCTAACAGCTGAGTGGCCTCCCAACACAGATTTATTTCATTTTATTCAACTGCTTCCCTCAAATTGTCTTAGTGGCTCTGGTTGGTGACAATGAACACGGATGGCATAGGATGTAAGTTACAGCTAGGTGCAGGTGGCTCATGCCTGTAACTCCAGCTACTCAGGAGGCAGAGATCAGAAGGATAATGGTTTGAAGCCAGCCCAGGGAAATAGTTGCCCAGACTCTATCTCAAAAATACCCACCACAATAAAAAACGGGGGTGAGCCCCTGGTGGAGGGGCTCAAGGTGTAGGCCCTGAGTTCAAGCCCCATCAGGGAAAAAAAAAAATGTAAATTAGGCCAGGTATCCAAAACAGCTGATAGGTGTGGAATTTAGGAGAAAATTTCAGGAATTTGTCTGAAAGGACATGAAATGTTTAATTCATCTTTCAATACTTTCATGAAATGAGATACTTGCCCCAAGGTGAGCAGCGTGTATAAGGCAAAAAAAAAGAAAAACCCAGAGTAAACACTGAATGCAGTACAGTACTACTGGCAGTCAACGGATCAGCCTGGTGTGATCCTAAATTAATGAGGAGACACTTACAAAGGTCCTTGTCAAAACTCTTTACCCAATTACCACTTTAAAAGCAACGTGCTTTTAAAGTGTATCAAAGTGCTTTTTAAAGTGTATCAGAGTATCAGGGTGCTGCAATACATTTCCTCAGCTGTTAAGTGTCACCACATTTACCCTACTGGGAAGTGACTGCTTCAAACACACAAACAAAAGCAACTTGAAACCACCTACCCGCTGCCGATTTGTTGTCCAACTTCTCATTTTCTTCTTGTGCTGGGAAATCCTCAGGAACTCCCACGGCTTTGACTTCTTTTCTTTGTCTGAGGTACATCATGATGTCAAAGACTTACATGCTTTGTTCTTTCAAACCCCGCCTACAAAGGACAGAGAAATAAATGGCCCACCCATGCTGACAACCCTCTCTCCCCAACCCGCCCTGTGCTCATCCGAGGTTTAGTAACCTAACTTGGGCCATGGTCCCTTGCTTAGGGACATCTTAGCCTCCCAAGCTATGACAGATGCAACTCAAACACTGAACTCAACCAGACTGATGAAGCATCCTTTTTCCCTGCAGGTTCTGCCAGGGGTTAAGTACTTCTGGCAAGCTCTTGCCCTTCCTCCAGGCAGCCTTCCTGGATTCTCCAACCCCTGCTGATCTCTCTCTTTCCCTGAGCCAACAGCATTCACCATGTAATTTGGTGCACAATTGCATTTTTTTTTTTTGGTCATCATTTCATAGACAGTAGTAGCACTTCTGTATCTCCCACAAAAGTGACCACGTGGGAGTGATTCGATAGTAAACTGTTGACAGCCAGATTTGGAAGAACTGAAGCATTGTTTTGTTTCAGCTATCTGGATTTTAACACCTGTGCTTTTGAAAACAATTCCGGAGGGAAACTTTAGGCCTCTGCGGTGGATGACAGCGGGGGTGTGCCAATCAGGGCAGCTGCCATCCTAGGGTGTATCAGTGGGAGTCACCACAGGGAGCAGGAGCCTAGTTTGGAAGCTGCAGTGGGAGGCGGGGGTGTGGTGGCAGTGAGTAAGCTGGCTCCAGTCCCCCGGAACATCTTGCTTCACTCTGAATAATGAATAGCGTTTTACTAATTATTTATTAAAGATGATCACGAGCTAGCCAGGTCAGATCATCAAACCCACCCTCGAGGTACCTAAAGATACCACTTGTTCTATACAGAACAGAACCAACCCAACCAACACGGTGCAATTCATTTATTGATTTCATGGAAAAAAAAAAAACTGAGAAGGAAAATAAGACTTTAAATGCTGAAAACCGACCTAAGCGCTGTGCCTCCGACAACTCGCTCTACCGAACAGAACCAGCCAGCATACCACAAATCATTTATTGATTTATTTAAAAAAAATATGAGAAGGAAGAACAGAAGTGCTTTAAATCGACTCAGCGCTGCGAACCTGAGCTGCTGGAGCAGTAAGGAAGAAAAGGGAGTGTTTGCAAAGTCGCACTGGCAGAGAGACAGGCTCATTCCCCCTCCCCCAGCCCTACCCTAGGGACCTAAATTTTAGCGCCCTAGAAGATCAGTTTAAAGACCGCAGAACTAGACACATTGTAACCAACCAGGAAGTCAACAGTCTTCAAGTGTTAACTGTGACCACAGCCTGCGAGCTAAGGGACAAAAGTTGCTCCGGTAAACGGAAGCCAATGCCACCTTACACGCTGGCAGAGGGACCTGCAGGCGGTTCTGCGTTCTCGGGGACCGCGCTGCGCATCCCCGCGCGCCGCAGGGCGCTGCGCCCCGCTCACCTCCGCACCCCACCCGGGCGCACCTGGCCGGCCCAACGCCTGGATCCCCGGTGCCGGTCAAGCTAAGCTCACCCACCCAGGCCAGCGAAGGGTCGCGGGGGTCGGTGCCCGCGGCCGGCTGCCCGGAGGCCGCTCACAAAGTTGCACGTCCCAAGTTGGCGCCCCGCACCCGCACCCCGCGCGGACACTCGCGCGCTCCGTCCCCTCTGGACAGCCGAGTCCGCGGCGGCCCCGCGACGCGACACGACGCGACGGGGCGGGGCGGCCCGAAGGTCCTCCGGGGAGGCGAGGCGCCACGAGGCAGGATGCCGCCGGCGCCCGCCCCGCGGGACCTCGCGGCCCGAACGCAGCCACAGACCTGCAGCCTCAGCCGTCCTAACGCGCAGCTCCGGGAGGGGAAGAAGCCGGACCCGCGCTGAGGGTCGCGGGGGGCGGGGCCGTAGGACGGTCCGCGGCGCGCGACCAGGAAAGGGCGGACCCGACAGCGGCGGCGGCGGTGGAGGTGGCGGAGCTTTGTGCAACACCTTGCAATGGGGGCGGGTGGGGGGCGTCGACAGCCCCGGGGAAGGGGCGCGCCGGGGAGGCCGGGCTCCCGCAGCTGCACTCATAGGTCACGGAAGCTGTCAGTCAACGCGAGGCCCCGCCCTCCCCGGCGCGGCCCCGCCCGGTCTCGTGCGGCGCCGGCCGGAAGGAAGTGGCGCAGTTCCGCGCACAGGCCCCGCCCCGCTTGCCGGCTGCCGGGGTCATTGTGGCTGAGAATTCGCTTTCCCCCTTGTCCGCGCCGGCCACCACGTGCCACGGCGACAGGTGTGGCTCCGGAAGGAGGGCCTGCTACCTTGAGGAGGGGTCGCGGCCCCGTAGCTCGCGGCGCCCCGAGTGCGGAGTGGGCGGGCCTTTGGAAAGACTTCCTGCCCGGGCCCTGCTGTGCCCAGGGCGGCTGCGGGTCAAGGGTTCCTTCAGGGCAGGTGCGACGGACGAGCCGTCGGGTGACTCGGACAGGTCCCCGCGGTACGGGGTCGAAAGTCCCAGGCCCTCGGCCGGCGAGAACCCCCGCAGAGGTGCGCTTGCTCCCCACAGATGCCTGTGGGGCGGGGACGCGGGCTGGGACGCTCTTCTGGTCCCCACTAGGCGTCTGCAGGGCGCGCCCGCTGTGCTGGGCACCTGGACCCCTGCTTGACCGAGCCGGGAAACCTCTCACCTGTCTGCTCGGAGACTGTGTGCTGATTGAGTTTTGATTGCCAGTGGCCCCAGGGCCCCACCTTCTCAAATTCCTCCGGGAAGCCCTTGTTGGCATCCTGCCTGCTGCGGGTTTTCTCCTTGTGTGTCCTTTGCACTTTCCAGGCGAATGCACTGAGTGTGATAAAAATGGTGCCAGCGGGTTGTTTGGTTTTTTTCTCCTTTTTCTTTCAGTAGGTCTTTGTCATGTTTCAGGGATGTTGGTGTCTTCTCCTACATGGGCTTGAAGGCACGGGCTATAGATTTGACCTTTCACATAAGGTGAATAATAAATACATATGTGAATATGTGTATTAAGCATATGTATATGCTTAATAAATACATATGTGTATTGATTCCTTATGAAGGAGGAATTTCCCTTCTCTTATTGGATAAGGTTTATTTTTTTCTTAGGCTGTCTCACTCAGGAAAGTGAGTCAGTCCGTTGTGGAACATGCAATCCTTGAGTAAAGAAAACAGTACCCATCGGCCACTGCTTGCTTTTTTTCTTTTCTTTCTTTTTTTTTTTTTTTTTGGTGGGACTGGATTTGAACCCAGGGCCTCGTCCTTATTTTGTTTTAATATTCCAAAATGGCTTTGCTAAGCAAGAGAAAGCTTCTAGACTTTTCACAGGAAGTGGATACCCACTGCTGAGAGTTGGCCTGAGGAATGAGTAGGCTAAGAAGGAGTCAAGTTCTGGATAATGAGGACAGGCCTCATCAGCAAGGAATCATCGAGGGGCCACAGAGTGCTTAAGTGCTGGCAGTGGACGTGACCACAGCGGTGTACAGGAACACTCTTGTTTGTCAGCCAGGTGACCTCCCTGGCCTCTTCTCTGCTGGAGTCAGCAGTAGTTAAGGTGTGTGACTCAAAGCCTGGTCTGGGGACCTGCCACATCCCTGACACCCTCACCTGGGAACTTGTGAGGAATGCACCTGATCAGGTCCTTCCACACCTACTGAGCTGGAATCTGTAGAGTGGCGGGCCACCTGGTGTCATTCTTGGAGAATCACAGCTACTGTGGACAAGCAGCATGGCCATCCCTAGCACTACAAAGAGAAAAAAGAAAAAGAAAAGGAAAAGCAAGCAGGACTTCAGTCCCTACCCTAGGCCCTACTAAACCAGAAGCTGCATTTTCATGGGATCTGAGGTGATAATTGTGTCCGTGTCACACCTTGAGAACCACTGCACCCAAAGACACAGACGCTGTTCATCACATCCTTCCTGTGGAAGGAAGTGCCTGGCCTTGGGACCAAGGGTGAGAGCTCGGACTGCCTCTTGGCTTTTATCTGATGTACACTCCACCTGCTAGCGTGAACCCTCTCCGTCAGTCCTTCTCTAATGAAAGACCATCTGAGTCTTCCTCTACTTTGGTGGTGGTTGGGGAGGTGGCGTTTGGCCCCTGGCTTCATTTTCCACTGATACATCAAAAGATTTTTTTGTCCAGGCATACCTCCTGACCTCCAGGTCCCACGTGTCCACTGCCTATTGGACATTCCCAGGTGTGGAGCATCTCAGACTCAACATGTTAAACTTTTTAATCCTCGAATCTGTTTTTCTTTCTTGGTGCTCCGTTTCCCTCATTGCTGACATCAGAAAACCAGGCACTAGTTTAGGTTCTTCGCTGCCATGTAATCCACACGTATCCAAGGACAGTGAGTCTTCTTGGGCAGACCTTCCCCGTCTTCTCCATCTCTGTTGTCCTCCCCATGTTTCCCTTCCCTTATCTGGTTCATTTCAATAACCCGATTTCCACACCCGTTCCTCTTCCCTGTCCCTGTTCCTTCAGTCCATGCTAGCGCATACATTCTTTGGTGTCTTACTGGTTTTATTATTCAGCTCCTGAACACAGCTTGCAAGGATTGTCACATAGTGCTCATCTGGTCCTGTTCATAGAGATTTCTTCAAGCCACAAGCCTGTGGCTCACGCCTCTAATCCTAACTATCTGGGAGGCTGAGATTGGAAGGATCGAGGTTTGAGGCCAGCTTGGGCAAATAGTTTGGGAGACCCCAACCTCCAAAAGAGCTAGAGCAAAATAGAATGGAAGTGTGGCTCAAGTGATAGAGTGCCAGCTTTGCAAGCATGAAGCCCTGAGTTCAAATCCTAGTCTTACCTGCCCCCCCCCCCCAAAAAAAAAGAAATTTCTTTCAAAATTTTGTGCTGGGTGCTGGTGGCTCATGCCATAATCCTAGCTACTCAGGAGGCAGAGATCAGGAGGATCAAGGTTTGAAGCCAGCCTGGACAAATAGTTCGTGAGACCCTATCTTGACAAAGCCCTTCACACACACACACACACAAAAGGTCTGAAGGAGTGGCTCAAGATATACTAGGTTCAAACCCCACCGCCACCAAAAAAAAAAAAAAATTCAAACATTTGTCCCATGCCTTTTATAAGCAATTCTTGCATTCATTTTATCATTTTTATTCATTTACTGTCCAGCTTTTAAATGTGTAACTGAAACGACCCTTGCTGCCTGGTGTCATGCCCTCTGTAGTCCTGTCTCACTGAGTCATGGCCGTTCTGTGTGGAAAGCACAGTGTCAGCTTCTGAGACAAGGTCATGAAATACGTTCCACTTTCAGCCTTAACCTCTTTCAGAGGTTTGCTCCCTTAGAGAGGGTCTGGCCACCATGCTGTGAGGAAACCAGTGGCCTGTGGACAAAGGCCTTTCAGGCAGCGGGTGCACCCAGCCATTCGATGAACTATCTTGGAAGCAGATAGCCTTGGCTGATGTCAGGAATGATCCAGAACCAGGACTGCCCTCTTAATTTCTCTGGACTATCTCCCCTTGGAAGTGGTGAGAATAATCAGCACTTGCTGTTTGGAGCATTGAGTTTGGGGGTAATTTTGCTGTACAATGATAAAGAACCAGTACAAAAATAATCACCCGTGTGGACACGCCATAATTTATTCCCACTTAATTGCACATTTAGGTTTTTTCTGATTTTATGGTACCACAAGCCACGCTGTAAGAACATTGTCCTGCACATGTAGTGCTTCGGGAAATGCTTCTAGAGATACAATTGCTAGCACTCATTCTAAATTGCAACAAACATTGGCAAACAACATTCCAAAAATGTTAAAAATTCTTACACTATGTTTATTACCAATTATGTATATTACAGTGCTGTTTCTCCATTCCCTTGCCAAAACTGGGCAACTTTAATCTTTGCCAATTTTGGCACAGTGCTGGGGTTTGAACTCAGAGCCTTATATTTGCCAGACAGGCAGGTAGGTGTTCTACCACTTGAGCCATTCCACCAGCCCTGTTTGTGATTTTTTTTTTTTAAACATAAGGTTTCAAGAACTATTTGTCCTGGCTGGCTTCAAACCATGATCCTCTTGATCTCTGCTGGGATTACAGGAGTGAGCCACCAGCATCCTGCTCAGGTCAGTGACCACAGAGGTGAGTGTGTCTGTGGCAGTCTTCTGAGGCTGGTTTGGCATCCTTGGTTCTTAAGGGGCTCAGACTAAGACCTAGAATCAGCTTTCTTGGAGTTCATAGATCATTTCAGAGTTATAGGAACTGACCTGACACTACCTTCCTTCCTTCCTTCTTCCCTCCTCTCCTCTCCTCTCCTCTCTTCCCTCCTTCCCTTCTTTGAAATACTTATCAATCTATAGCCCCTTCCCTTCAAGAGTCTGCAGAAGAGGCATTTTGAAATACTGTTAGTACTTTCCCTCTTCCTTTGATCAACTTTGGGTTAACTAGATTCGAAGTGGTTTAAAATAGTGAAATGTCCAAGGCCATTGAACACAGCCGCACCGTTTAAGGATCAGTTAAGCAATGTTAAACCACAAGGTCTCTAAGCAGGCTCAGCAAAGTCACACATTGTCCTTCCATCTCTCTTTTTTACCTCTCCTTGCCAGAGCTTCTTTCATTGCCATGGTTACCACCTACACTTGCATTTTCACGGCTACAAGAAGCACTGTATATTTTTGAATGAGGACACGAATAGTCGAGCTGTTCAACTAAAGCAGATGACGAGACTTTGTCACAGGAGATTTTTGCCAAATTTGACGGTTCCTGAATGTTAGCAGTTCTACTCCAAGGGTCAGTGTGTGGCTGGTCCTTTCCGCTGCTGCCTTGAACTGCACAAGTGTGTGCACAGGCTGCTACAAATGCCAGTGGCAGATTCTCCCAAGTGACACAGGTGCCAAGGTGTCATGTTGCAAGGGCGGGGATGGTTTTTCTGTAGGAAGAAGTGAGCCTTTCAGTCAGAAATGGAAGTGTTTCTAACCCTCCAATTCAGACATTTTAGCATGCCCAAGCCATGGATGGCTGAG